ATGATTACCGGACCGAGCTCTTTGACTATTCTCTGTTAACAAGTTCATTCCCAAGTTAACCATATTATCTTTTAGCTATGCTCTACTACGCATATTTATTTCTATGTTAACCTTATTACCGTTCACCTATGTTCTAGTAGGAAAGTTAATTCCTAAGTTAACCATGTTACCTTTTAGCTACGTTCTACTAGGCATGTTAATTTCTGTGTCCATTATTCCTTTAGGTTTTTTTTTATCATGTTTTCAATATGATATTTATTCTTTTTATTTTCGGAATGTATTTGAGACGTGTTTTCTAAAGGCAATGTAAGTTTACCTTTGACAGAAAGTTAGTTAATTATAGCAATGAATTTAATTTGCTATGAGCTTTTTATCTGTAAACAGCTCAAGAACAAAAAAACAAGAAGAAAATCTTGAAAATTTTCATCATTTTATCAATATATTAAGTCGAGTCATAAATAGCTTCCGGTGCGAGTAAGTAGAACCTATTGTTCATATTCATCCGCTGTAAGTGACCGAAACAAACAAATTTTTGTTTTCACTACATAGATGAGGACTCCATTAGACTGCCGTCAACTATTTTATGTGCTGCATGTTACATTCGACTGTTAAAAAATATACAGCGTGTACAGTGAAGAATGGATAACTGATCGGGCAGTTAGAAATTGGTTTGTAAAATTCCATTCTGGAGATACGAGTCTTTCGGACTATGACGAAAGCCTTTCAAAGTCAGTATTGGAGAAAAAAGTCCACACCAATCAACAAGAGGTATTGTAAAAAGGTTGAATACCTCACAATCAACTGTTAGATAAGTCCAGCAGCTGCAACGACTGCAAGAGGAACTCTGTGAAAGTGTCCTGTGAAAAAATTCTTGAGTTTGGACAGTCTGTTTTACCAAGCCCATCTTGCTTCCTGGGCCTTCGGCCCCCACAGCCTATCACCTTTTCTGTTCCTTACAAAACTTTTTGAATGGAAAATCGTCCAATTCTGAAGAACAAGTCAGTCAGGCTGTCGGAAATTTCTTCCAATCCAAACCCACCACATTTTACATGGAAGGAATTGATAAACTGCCAGGATGATGGGAGAAAGTCATACATAATAGTGGCGAATACGTGATAAAAATAAGTGTCTGATAAAGAAAACGCAAGTTACTTATGACTCGACCTAATAAAGTAACTAATGAAATTACAAATACAACTGTTTTGAAAGTGATGGAAGACTACTTTCCGCAAAGATATAGCACTAAGTTAGCAAATTAGACGTCCATTCCAGGTCATCAAAAGTATTAATTTCTCCATCTTTGAAATGGACTTACAACACTTTGCAAAGAAAGCGGTTGCTTTATTAAAAAAAAAACAAACCTCAAAATGTATAAATATTTAAACTGTGTAACTATGTAAGGAATTGACTTTTTTTACGAAATACATAGGTAAATAAATAAAATTAAAATAAGTCGAATCGAAAGTACTCCGGACCAGGCCGAATATAATTTTTATCTAATTTGATTTAGTTATTCATTTCTTGCTTAATCGAAACTATCTTCCAAGATGTCTTTTAATACTTATTTGTTGTTATAATCGCGGGCTGGAAATCAAGATACACAAATTCCACAGCACCGTTCATATCGGCCTGTGGAGTTACTAAGCGATGCGCAAAAATTTTTCAAGAATTTTCTAAAACTAACTTTGTTTTGCAAGTAAACTAAATGGAAAAAAATTCCGCTACAAAACACGTATGCAGATGCAGGTATACTTAAGTTTTATGAATTGCAAGACGTTTTCAGCTGCGTCTTTTTTTTTAATTAAATATCCTCTATAAACAAACAGCTTGTAACACTTTTTTTAATTTCTTATTAGAATTTTATGAAGAAAATTTTTATATATATATTTTTTTTATTTCTTCAAAATTATTATAAAAGTATTTCGTAGATATTTTTGATAAAATTTCCAATATTAATAAATTTTTTAATTAGTTTTAATATTTTAGGCTTTTCTTTTTTTTTATCTTTAAGTCTCCTCTGACATCTATATAAAAAAAACATTTCACCACCACTTAAACCCAACAAATTAGAATCATTAGGAATTTTCCGAGAAGAAAAGGTTATCTTTCCGGTTTCCAGTTAAAAAAATGTAAAAAAAAATTTAAAAGCTTTAAAAACACTACGACACTATATATTACGCTTTAAACAATTAGCGTAAGAAAATTATATCATTGATCATCTGTTGCACGTATTTTCTTTATATGCCCACAAATCGATTATATCGACAATTTTAACGGAAGAAAATTGAAATGTTAAATGTGTGTGTTTACTATGCATATGAAGCGAGTAAACTGATTATGGCTACCGTTAGCTTGATGGAGGGAAGAACATTGCTCTCTGCTTTTCTGTGAAGAGAGCAAACAGCAGATAAATTGAAACAACATTAGCTAACAACGTTAAGAACGGAGTAAATGAAAAGTCTAAACAAACAAGCAACATAATTATATGACGCGATGTGAGTGGAAAATATATTCAAACGATAATAAAACAGTGGATATGTAATAAATGATAATAAAAAAAAAAAAAAAAAAACATTAAAACTAAATATGGCGGAAAAATATATTTCGTTACTAAATCATATTAAAGCTTTATAACCAGTCGGGGCGTATGATTACCTACGTGTCTTATGCTAACAATTTTCTATTCTTCACGTTACGCTTACTCTCCATAAGAACTCTTGTACGGAAAAGTATCTATAGAAATTAAATCCATGTAATCCCATCTTTGCATAGGTCAAATCTCTATTTGGAGCCCCTTCCCATAGTAGAATACAACAACTTATTATAGGAAAGAACATTTGAAACTTGTCGCCATAAAAAATCTTATTTTTGCCGACAGAAATTTTTGTAGGAAAGCGGATTGCAGAAGTTGTCCAACTCCCAAATCCAAATTTTCCTCATATTTTCCTCATATTTTCCCTTAATTTACTTTTTTCATATAATGACTTTCTCAAAAGTTAATCTCTTATAAGAAGTGATCATCAAAATTCCTTCATCTAATTAATTCATTTTAAAAAAAGGTTCCTCTTTGGTCCGAAGCAACTCAGTATACCTAGTACAACTGAAATATTGTGAAAATTATGATAGGCATCGAACAGACAGAAAGACAAACAGGTTTATATCGATTTAGAGAATCAATCCGAATCGTTTGGCGTAATAATTGGCGGTGTCCCTGCAATCCCCAACTCCCTACATACCTTAACTGATGGATAGATATGGATATTATTAATATTTACATTTTTTTTTTTATTTATATATTTATTATGATTATTTCTTTGCTATTTATTGGATCTTCAGTCAAAAGCAGAAAAACGTTCTCGTGCCAGCCTTAAATATTACGTTGCAAGAATAATTGTCGTGCAAATATTTATGTATCTTACCCAATTAATCCAAAAGAATTTTAAAAGAGTATCCTATGAGAATTGCTCAGCCTACCTATAGGCAGTTAATAATTCTTGATTTTTGCTAAACCTAGTATTGCGAATTAGAAGTGTAGACGGGAAAAAAAACAACAACTTACAGTAAAGCCCCGTTGAGGTAAGTCCGTGCGTCTCGCACCACTAACATTCACAAAACTAACATAGAACTGGCTACTAACTACTTCCCAAGTGTATAGTCATCCGTTAAAGCGCTATTGGTTGATTTAACGAGACCTCCAACAGCAATCGGACAAATCCCAGTTACGAAACCATATTTGATCATTTCTAATAATTGTTCTTGGCTTATTATTTCTTCTTCTTATTATTATTATTACTAGCAATTTAACCCCAGAAATCAATCTTAAGACTAACATCTTAGAACACTATCATCTAAGGCCGGCTATCGGCTTGCTTTTTTTTTTATTTCTTTGCCGCACACTTTCGTTCGCGAATAAAATCTTTTATTTTCTATGCAAAAGAAAAGTTGTCTATATAATTGACTATAATTTCACTTACTTCATAAACTTTAATTTTTTTTTTTTGCAAAGGTGAACTTTATTCGTAATTTTTTGATCTGAATCTGAACAGTTGTGTAAATTGAACTTTGAAGAAATCGTTTTAAGAAGATATCTAACTGACAGCTTAGCAAATAGAGCCAATTTCAGATATAACGCCCTTTTGCCCTGTTTGCTTGCTCGCCCGTCATCAAAAGATGAGCTCAAATTCATTTTGTCAAAGGGTTCCAGCTTCATCAAGAAGTAAACCTCAGACAAACCGTAGAGTACAAGCATCATCAATCAATATCAAATTCTGAATCGATTTCGACATGTCTACGTAAATATCCTTGTTAAGCAAGCAGTCTCCCAGAACTTACGACATCGCTTTTAAATTGGGCAAGAACTTTGCAGGCGAAACCCGTCATAAGAAACTTACTGTCAAATATAAACTAGAAACATCTCTGCCTTTTGGGGTGTAAAACAGATAGAAACTGAACATAATCGGTCATGTCCATCCAGCATTGTTATAAGGTATTAAAATTTCGTTTCTATTTTTTTTTTTTTTACAGGCGGGAGGTATAAAACGCACGGCTATAGCTTGATATAATTTTGCTACTTGTTATCATTATTATTACCCGATGGAGTTAGATAAGGAATTGATTTTTCTGTCAGCAGCCGCGTTCGTTACAAGCATTTAAAAACAACAGCTGGTTGTATTTTTTCGAAATCTTTTCAATATCGTACCCTAACGGAGAGAACGGGAAAAGTCAATTCTGCGAAAAAAAAAAAATTAATCTATAGAATTTTAGGAAAAATTAAAAGAAGGACATAGCAACTACATGTTGTTGTGTGACTTGAAGACGATTTCATCCCAAGCATTTAAAGGCAACTGAGAAAATACTGAACAACAGTCATTGACCATCATATTACACCTAATATACCGAAGCGTCATTTTTAAGCGTGAAATGCTCTTTCGCATCGGACCGTTAAATTGCATAGATTATCGATTGGTAAAAGTATGTTAAAAATGTTCTCAATTACTTACTTTTGCCGCGATGTTAAGCTTGGATCGGACGTTTTGCGTTGACTTCGATTGCGTTTATGGGATAAGCGTTCTTTATATGATTCCGAACGATTAACTGAAACTGGAGCACTTTTGTTTTGTTGATGTTGTTGGTGTAAACTGAAAATGGAGTAACAATTTAATAATACATTTATTTAACACACACACACACATTTTATTTGTTTTAATCATGCGTACCGTTCACGTCGGGCATTATTAGATTCAACTGCGTCCTGCGCATTTAAATCATTTAGTGCTCCGATTACACCGGCAGGAGAAATGCCGCCACTCGTAGTACCACTTGTTGACCCCATCGATAAATTCGAGGTAATTGAAGGGATGGCCATACCGTCAGGACCAATGCTACAAGAGAGTGCATTGGAAACACCGCCTCCAATACCAGCAACCGCTGTTGCACCCATACTTGCATCGGCCCCATGAAACGAGCTTTGCAAATCACTTGCATTAAGGTGACCAGACGTATTGCTATTCGATCGTATCGAGAGATTAACTCCGTCTGGTCTTCGGTCTGAAGGCTGCCGTTGTATGGAAGTAGAGTGTAACCGTTCTGAAAAGATATGGGGAGATATTCATGTTAAAGGGCTGATTCGAACTCGAAAGGAGACAAAAGGGAAATAAATTTCAAAAGAAAATTTATTTAGTTTTTTTTTTAGTTTTTGTTTTTTAAATCTCACCAAAGCTTAATTGCTTGTAGTATGGTGGTCGAGCGGGTGAATCTACAACACTTGCTGAACCGCCAAATGATTTGCGATTTTTAGCGGCTTTATTAGCAGCTTTACGATTTCTATAATTAGTAGTTGTTTCGTTAATTTTTGCCGCCATTCGGGATGTCAATGACGGCGTAGATGCCTTTTTATTCTTTTCTTCGGTAACTGAAGCTAAATCCTCATTGTTGTTTAGTTTTTGTTCATCGACTTCATCGCACGAATAGAACGCCTCATCGTCATAATTGCCGCTGCTCTTACTGCTATCCGAACTATGTCGATGAGTTTTTCCAATACTTAATCTACGAGTACTGTTTTGAAAAGTGTTCTTCTTCTTCTCCTTACTGATGGGTGGCTTAGCCGAATCGGAATTATTATTGTCCTTATTGTCCTTAAAGTTGATGTTATCATCAAACGAACTTTTAATGGTTTGTTTCTTAACCAAAACAACGTTTCGCTCGGCTTCGGGATCATGGTCCTTAGGTGTCTGAGCTACCATGCTATCTTGGGGATATTTGAGGGCAATTGGCATCGGTTTACAAGTGGCTGCCACTTGCATAACCGACGAAGCCGCTTCCGAAATAGATCTTTGACGTATTAAAGCAAACTCATCGGTGTTCAGAAATTTTCGATTACTTAGAACAAATTTTACCAAAGTCTGCAAATTAAGATTTGAACCCGTTCGTGAACTTTTTTTTGCCTTCACCTTCGCCTTAGTATCTTTGCCAGAATAATTTTGTGGCTTTGCCTTGTCGAAATGGTCAACCGTTATCGTACTAATTTTACGATTACTTCGTGACCGCTTGACACTTTCCCTCTTATCCATATCGATTTTAGTTTTAGAAGAGCTCTTCTCTACGCGATTATTGCGGTATTTAGGATCGACGAGTAAAATTTTTTCTTTGACACTATGAGAAGAATTATTTTGCGAATTACAAGCACTAGTCTTCCCATCTTTGTCGTCATCATCTTCTGAAGTATCAGAATCCAGGTCATCGTGTTCGTCCTCATCGTTGTCGTTCCCATCACTTTCGCTTAGTGATTGTGTTTTAATAGCAGTGCTACCTCGTATTAAAGGTTTACAGCTTTTTCTTTCATTTACCGCGCTGGCGTTATTAGAAACGTTGTAAGCACTTTTCGGGAATTCATTGCTGGTTCTTGCTGGGTTTGAATTTTTCAAAATTTTCAATGAGACTTTTCCATCTAAGCCTTTATGTTGTGGATAAGAGTTTGGCATCGTTTCCCTTGCTTTAGCTGAATTTTTATTTGATCTTGAAACATGTGGTGTTGTTTGCGGCTTTGAAGAATCCACTTGTATAAGCTTTTCTTCTGCATTATTCATTTCGTCAGTTTCTTTCAGCGATGAGCAGCTTGATTGTGATTGTAATACTAAATGGGGACTTTTCATCCTTTTACGCGTTGATTTAGGTGTCTGCCCCGTTAGGTTTCTATGCCTAAGGCTGGAACGACGGAATTTTTCAAATTTTGACGCTGGCCCACTTGCGTTTATATGTTGTAAATCTGTCGCTAACGTATTAACTGCACTATCTACTACGTCTACTTCTGGCGTGGGAGTATGCGACGTATTGTTATTATTTCCGGAACGGAACCACATATTAAAAGGTTGCAATTTTCTTAACCTATTAACAATTATTTTAGTTTCTTAATCTTAGTTGCATAATTGATTATAGTTGCACTACTCATGCTCAATACATAGTATAGCAGCAACCAACACATCACTTTACATCCATCACATCACATATTAATTTTTTTTTATTTCCTCTATAGAAATGTATAGCAAAGATCCCAGAAAAAGTATATTCTTGATAAGAGAGAGAGAGAGAGAGAGAGAGAGAGAGAGAGAGAGAGAGAGAATTGTACTCAATTGTCGATATGTAGATCTAACGTCGCAAGAAACCAAATGGTAACGCATAGCGTACATAAGGCTTAGGCACCATATATAGCAAATATATGAGAACTAATAATTCTTAGTAAATCAAAGTTTCTCTCGGCTTGGAAATCGACTCGTATTATTCCTATCAGGAAAACTGGCAAGTGACTTGATCCCTCGAATCTCAGACAAATGTCTATCTTGCTTATTCTCTCGAAGGTGTTTCAACTTATAATTAAGAAACAAATTATCAACGACCTTGACAATATTTCCCTACTCTCTGAGTCTCAGCATAGTTTTTAAGAAGAGTTGTAGCACTACTTCTCTATTACTGACTAACTGTTGCGGCTTCAATGCGACGTCGTACAGTAAATGATAAGCATATCTCGCCGCTTTTGATTCACAAACTCGTGCGGAGCTTTGATTTTTCGAAGTCAGCTGTTGATCTGATAGACTCCCATAGAATCCTACTTCTCGGATCGTGTAGAATTTATAACTATGGGTGGTATGAAATCTGCACCCTTAAAGGCATGCACTGCTGTGCCTCAGAGCTCAATCATTGGCTCTTTGCTCTTTACTCCTGTATGTGAATGATTTCTTTCAAATATGTTTAACCTAGCTTCGTGTAAGGCCTACGGATTTGCTGATGATTTGCAATTTTTATTTGTCAAATGTGTTGATAATTTTGAAGAGTATCAAGCTAACATTGACTACGATTTGAACTGCATTTCCCGCTGGGTGACTGCGAATGAGCTTGAGGTAAAACATTTGCGAGAAAGTGTTGACCCCCGAATCTAAATCTGAACTTGAAATGCCTGAAAGTGATTATTGACAATAAGTTGTGTTGTGGGTGAACTCTTTACATAGAAAGTTTAATTCCTTCAATGTCTCTATGCTCAATCCAATCAAGTTAAGAGTTGTCAAAGCTTTAATTATGCCACTTATAATTTATGCCCTAGAAGATTGTACTTTAAACCTGGGGGAATATATGTGAAATTCTATAGATAGTTATGCATTCTCCTTGCTTAGGTTATGTTCTACGGTTTCTAGATTGTTTTTTAGTTAATTTCTTTAAAGTTAGACTTCTCCTTAACATCTGCTATCTTATCCTATCTCCTACTAGAAGACGGAAAAGCTCTTTAAACTCTTTTTTCTTTTAGTAGGTCAGGTCAATTCGTAGTAACCTAATGTTTTTTCGTCGAGTTAGGTGCTCTTTGACCGAATCCATTCAGGTAAGAGTTATAACAGCTTGTAATTCCCTAATTTAACTTAGATGCTCTTCTCTCATTTAGGAACGGAGGCTGTTAACCTTCGCCGCTAATAATGAGATAAACTGGTTACTTAGTGTTGGGATGTAGGTGCGATTGTGTTATTTCCTTGCATACTTGTCTAGTTACCTTCTTGTCTTATGTCCTTTTTATTTACTTTTTTTTTGTTTTTGCTCTCTTTACCTTCAATTTTCTTTTCTTCGCCTTTAGATTGTTTAAGAGCTTTTTGCATTATTTTACTTTATTATCGAACCCACAGTAGACATTACCATCTGTTATTACAGGCCTTAATGGCTTCGAGGTTAGATAAGTGTCAATAAATAAATAGTCAGATTTTCACTTTGGCTCTATTTTCTCATACTTAAGTTGTTCGTCTTGCGGCAAAAATATTTCCCCCCATAAAAATATTTAAGTAAATTCACTTTGCTGCTCTTTCCTTTATACGAGAAGGAGATATTCATGGTGAGAGAAATTATATATATAATAGTGTTTTTATATCCTTTAACACACATAAAAAAAGGAGACAAGAAAGAATGTGAACTTTGCTCAGGACAATCACCCAATCATATAGTCTGGGCAAACTTGGTGCTTTAGTTCTTCAAGGAATGTAGATAACAATATGTCAATTTTTTGGTATCTATCTACTTAAAATCTACTTAATAAAAATTCTTGAGAAATAATGATAGCACCTCACTAAGTATTAAAATTTCGAATATTTTGATTATTAGTGTAAACGGTATTCTCTTTCAGCTCATAAGCAGAACATAAAATATGTTTAGCGATTGCCAAAAATAACGCTGCCTGTGCTTACTTAACTTACGATTCTCATCGGAATGGATTAAAATAAAATTTCGTATAAATATTAGGTGCTTGCATGTATTTTGCTCATTTTTTCACTTCAAAAACGTATTTACTGAGAAAAATTGCTGCAATCAAAATATTTTTCATTTTCCGTAGGCTAACATAGATTTGACCAGCGATACTATTCACGTGCAGGTGAAAGGTTACCATCCAGATTTATGTGATGGAAGCTTCGTTGAGCATAAATATATATATAAATTGAATGCTCTAACTTTCGACTGATTATATAGATATAATTTTCAGTTTCCTTCCCGTGTTAGTTTTCATTAACATTAGAGCCTTACTTGGCAGCAAAGAGTGTGTTTTTCAAATTTTTTTACTTCAATAAATCAAGAATCGCATTAGACGAGGTTACCGAATATGTTCAAATCTAGGCCTTTCTCGAATATAACATTTTAATTTGTTAATGGTTGACTTTGTTTCTATATTGATGCAAAAATAACTTTCATTAGTAACTTCCTTAATATGTATATGTTTTTCAAAACAAGTCTTAAGTCAATGGTTAACGTGACTATAAATTCGCGACTTTGCCCAAATAAATTTTTTTTTATTTCGTCTATTGTTATCTACCTATTTTGTACTTCACAGCCCAATACTTTAAGGTTTATAGTGTTATTGCATAAGAGAGCAGATGTTAATGTTTGTTTTAAATTTTTTTTTTTTTTTTTTGCATAAATTAAAATAAAAAAAGTTCCCCTTATCCCTTAATGGTAGGCCTCAACACTTCCCAGAGTCGGTTTGTTGAGCCATGCACAGTAAGCCTATATGGTTTCTCCAGTGTAGTGTAGGCCTCTGTCTAATTATCTGTAGGGCGCCGGTTACG